TCGGGCTATGAGGGCAGCACCAGCTGGAAGGCGGCCTTGGAGGGTAAGCGCCGAGCGGCCCTCCGTCCCCCGGCCCGGGACCCGGGACCCGGGAGGCGGGTCAGAGTCACCTTGGCCGAGCTCCCGGAGGGAGGGCGGGAGCGCCGGGAGGATTGATTTCAGGGCAGTCAGATGCCACATGGCGGAGTTGGGGAGGACCGTAGCTAAGGACCACCTACAGTTACAGCCTTGACCCTACCTAGGCAGCTGACCCACTCTTTGACCTTGGGAGCGGGTTTCATGCTCTGAGCCCCAATCTCCTCCAGAATGAAGGGGGACGGTTCCTGACCGGCCCTCACCTGATGTGCACGTTGAGAGGGTGGCTTCGATCTGTAGTGGTGGCAATGTTTTGGGCAAAGTGACAAAAGCTGTAGACGCCGGGGAAGGTGCCCCTGCGCTGTGGGAAGGGGAGGGGGCGCTGGCGGTGACGGGGCCACATAGGAAGGAGAGAGGTGGAGAATATGCCTCAGGCTCTTCCTGGCAAGGTCATGCGTGCCACCTTCCTCTTCCAGTCAGATGGGCTCAGGGAGTGACCCTGGTCAGCCAAGGGGGCGGTAACCAAGTGGAAAATAGAATTCAAGTTCATGAGCTCATTGGGGAAACTCTGTGGCCCCAGGGGGTGTGTGGTGTGGGAGATGCTAGACTTGTCAAGGGAGAGGGCTGGCCCTCTGGACTTCTGGATATTCCTGACGCCCCCAGTCCAAAGGCTGAGAATCTGGGCAGCATTAACTAGGGAAGCCCAGAGCCTGGGTCACCTAACCCTTGGGGGCAGAGTATTAAAGGAAGACTTGTGGGGCACCTGGGTGGCTCTTGTCAGGGACTCAGATCATGATCTCACAGTTGGTGGGTTCGAGCCCAGCATCAAGCTCTGCAGTGACAGCACGGAGCCTGCTTGGGATTCTCTCTCTCTCTCTCTCTCTCTCTCTCTCTCTGTCTGTCTACCCTTCTCCCTCTCTCTCTTTCTCCCTCTCAAAAATTAATAAATAAGCATAAAAATGCAAAGAAAAAAAAAAAGAAAAGGAAGCCTTCTTGGAGTGGAGAGAAGGCAGGGTGCCCCAGGCTCGAGGAATGACATGTTCAGGGGCCAGGTGGCCAGAACTAGCTTGTCCCTGTGGCAAACTGAACTCCAGAGTAACAGAATGGAGGGGAAGGGATGGCAAGTGATGGATCTGGAGGGTCCAGACTGTGAATGGTCACCCAGGCATTGGACTTTGTTCTGAAGAAACTGTTGAGAGTTAAGCATAGAATGAGACGGTGGATTTGCCCTTGGAAACGTGGTGGCGATCAAGAGGGGTCAGGCCAAGACCAGGTCAGTGAGGAAGGTGGGGTGGTGGTCGGGGGCGAGACCTGGCCGGCGCTTGCCAGGGCAGGTACCTTGCCGAGGAGGGAGAGGTGGGGGCTGCGATATCAGCTCTTGGCCCAGAGGCCGGTGGGCTGGGGGTCTGGGCTGCCTGTGTGGGGGAGGGGCTGTGCAAACTGTGGAGGGAGGGACGGTCAGATGCCTGGGTGGTGATTTGGGACAAAGGAAGCAAAGAAGTTGGGTCACAGAATAGAAGAGCCATCGCAGGCGGGGAAGAGTAGAGTTGAAAAAAGGTGGGCAAACCGCTTTCTCTGTCGGGCATTGTCAGATTTGCCTGTGATCCCCGCATCCCTCCCGCCCAAGTTATGTCTGGAAGTTGCTCACTCCTTTTGCCTGTGAGTCTTCATTCATTCATTCATAGGCATTCCTGCAGGGTCTGCCCTAGCCTAACTCCAGCCCCCTGATGGTCAGGGCCGCTTCAGGGGTGGTGTGGCCTCATTCAATGCCTCTGGCTTGCTGGTTCCTATTTTACCCCCGGCCCTGACTTTGACCATCCTGCTTTCTGCTCCCAACCGGGGCTGGGCTGACCATCTGCGGTTAGGCTGAATAAGGCCCAGGCCCGGTTGCTCTCTTGGGACACGGACTCTTCTACCCACGAAGAAGCTCGCTGATCTGTACTTAGTGTCTCTTGCAGTCCAGCCTTGTCTTGCCGGTCCTTGCCTGGCTCTGCGTCTCATCTCATGCCACCTCTGGTTCTCCCCTGGTCTCCCCAGAAGCAGCCCCACCCTTAATGTCCTTGGAGGCCCAGCATCTGTGGCCTATGGACTTTTTCTGCAGGAATTGTAGTATCTGGGGTCTGAGTCCAGGGCCCCCCGGTGCTCTGAGAGTCTGCTGGGTGCTCCCTTGGCACCCCCATCTCCTGTCAGAAGAGGGGAACTCAGGGACCAGGCCTGGTCTCTCCAGGGTGTTGCTGTGCGGGCAGAAATCACAGGACGGGGGCTGAGGCAGCTTGGTGAGACACAAAGAACTCAAAGTCAGGTAAACCCAAGCCAGATCTTTCCACCACCATGGGCTGGCCGTTTTCAAACTTGTTTGACTCAGTTTCCTGATCTACTAAGCTAGGTAATTCCTTCTGCCCCTCAGGGCCACACAAAGGCGCAGGGGTGTGGGCTGTGCAGGTGACTCCTGTCACCAGCTCTCTGGACTTGGCATCCTGCGCCCGTGACGGGGGAGCGCAATTGCCTACCTTGAGTCTGCTCCCTGCCCCCGGCTGAAGTCCATGGAATGAGCCGTCAGCTGACACTGAGAAAACACCTGTGATGGGATGAGAGGTCTGCCCTTGAGACAAGTGAAGAGACTTTTTGACTTGACCAAGCTGAACGGTCGGGGCGGGGCTGTGCTCCTTTGGTACTAAGTGCCAGGCATTTCTCAAGCACCTACTGTGTGCCCCACCCCGGGCCAGAGGCTTTCATGACACGGTCCCATTTAATACCCCCCCCCCACACCCTTCAGGGGCTGGTGAGCATTGTTACCTATTTTGCAGATGAGCAAGCCCACTGGGACAGGCTAAGCGTCTTGCCCAAGAACACAAGTTGTTTGCTAATTGTTTGGTAACGTGTGTTTGCCAGGAGGGCCTCTGACCTGAGAGTTCTCGGGCTTCATGAGGCTAATCGGGAAGAACTGAGTTGTGTTTGGGATGCGTGTAGCTCTCTGGCCCAGACTCTCCAGACAACGCTGCTACCTCGCGCACGGACCTTTTTTTCCTCCTCACAGGTTAAGTGACATTGAGGACTTCTTAAATTTAAACCAGAATTAGAGCTCACGACTTCTCGACTTTCCTTAGATGAACAATTAGCTTTATAAATAGAAAGCCAGACAGAAGTTCTCCTGAGCAAGCCTTCTCTCCCTGTGGCTGTTAACCTTTCTTTCCATGCCCTGGCCTCGGGGAGCGGCCAGGAAAGGTGACCCAGCGCGCTGCCGAGGCCTGGGTTCTAGAAAGACTGGGGGTGACAGGAGATGGGGATATTTCTGGCCGCGGGGGTGGGATTGGGGAAGAGCGAATAGCCTGGGGGTACGGTAGGGGACGATTCTGCACATCACAGGCTATAGATTTTTCAGAGCTCACCGATTCTGAATTTTTAATGTTGAAAGTTTCTTGATTAGACATAAACCCACAACTTCCTGGTCAAAACCACACACATGCATTTAGCCAAGCCTTTTAAAATTTTAAAAATTACCAAACTCTGCATTTGATAGTTTTGAACAGTCAAGACTATGCTTGCCAGACTGTGGCCCTGACAACTTAGAGAGAGGTCAGCGGTGAGTCTCTTTTGGGCTGTGGGTGTGAGGGTGATGGGGCATCTTCCGGGTTGCAGCCAGATTTTCAGCGGTTCCTTCTAACATGAGGCTAATTCATATATATTTATAAACACAAATAAACGCACCCTCAAACTCCATCTGTTGTGGAGTATTGCATAGAAGGAATGATTGAGTTAGACATTTGTTATGGCTTGAATTTTTTTTTTTTTTTACTGTATTTTTAAAATATTTTTTTCAACGTCTATTTATTTTTGAGAGACAGAGAGAGAGTGTGAGCAGAGGAGGAGCAGAGAGAGAGCACAAGCAGGGGAGGGGCAGAGAGAGAGGGAGACGCAGAATCCGAAGCAGGCTCCAGGCTCCGAGCTGTCAGCACAGAGCCCAATGCGGGGCTTGAACCCACAAATGTGAGATCATGACCTGAGCTGAAGTTCGACGCTCAACTGACTAAGCCACCCAGGCTGCCCGTTCTGGAGTGGGTGGGTTTCTAATCCAATATGACTGGTGTTCTTATAAGACCACGGTCACAGGAAGACAAGAGACACACAGGGAGAAAGTTCACGTGATGAAGAAGGCAGAGCCTGGAATGAAGGGCTGCAAACCCGGGGGTGAGGAAGGTCACCAGCAAACCCTCAGAAGCCAGGACGAAGAGAGCAAGGACTCCCCTAGCTTTCGGAGCAAGTGTGTCCCTGCTGGCACCTTGATCGTGGACTTCTCGTCCGCAGAAGCGAGCAAATAAATTTGCGGAGTTTTAAGCCATGTGGTTTGTGATGTTTTGTCACCCCAACCCTAGGAAACGAATACAGCGTTGTTTTGGATTGTCCAGCCCCACAGCCGTCCTCTGTGACAGCAGTAGTGAGCAAGGAGTCGGGACTCCCTAGAGGGTCTTTTTCTGTCCACAGTGCAACGTCCAGAGCAGTTATCCCTGTGAAAGTCCCAAGAGGCTCCCTGGTTCTGTGATATCAGAGATGCACGTGCACATCCCCACCCCCAGAGAGCAGCTGTACATCCATGTGGCCTTTCCTACAAACTCAGCAGAGTTTAAGGCTAAGGACATTGTCACTCAGTGTAGCTAAGTCCCCCTCAGGTTTTTGAGTACTGGCGGGTGCTCTGTACCCTATGTAGGGAATGCAAAGGTGAGTAAAGCACGGGCTTTTCCCTAAAGGAGCCTGTGGGCTCATCATCATCGTCATCGTCATCACCATGGTGATTGCTAACACTGAAGTAGAGCTTTCTAAGCCAGACACCTGCTAAGCACTGAATGATGATTTCTCACAAAATTTTAGGAGGCAGATACTACTATGACCTCATTTTATTTATTTATTTTTTCAACGTTTATTTATTTTTGGGACAGAGAGAGACAGAGCATGAACGGGGGAGGGGCAGAGAGAGAGGGGGAGGGAGACACAGAATCGGAAACAGGCTCCAGGCTCCGAGCTGTCAGCCCAGAGCCCAACGCGGGGCTCGAACTCACGGACCGCGAGATCGTGACCTGGCTGAAGTCGGACGCTAACCGACTGCGCCACCCAGGCGCCCCTATGCCCTCATTTTAAGGGTGGAGAAAATGAAGTAAAAATAGAAGCTAAGTAACTTTGCCGCGAAGTTACTAAATCATCTAGAAAGGGGCAGAGCTGGGATTTGAACCTACCAAAGTGGTTTAAGATGCTATGCTCTTATCTTCAGTGCACAAAGTGTTATGGTGCCAGCGTGTATCGGCCTAGACGGGCGAGTAGAGAAGGGAGAGGAAGGATACATACAGGGCACTTGCCACAGGCAGTTACCAGGCAGCTCAGGGGGGATCAGCCCTATGACAAGCTGCCGTTGAGGACAACAGAGAAGGTGCAGAAAGAGCCCAGCCCCGGAGGGCACACGTGAGTCTCTGCTCTCACCTGCAGCCACTTGCCCCTAGGTTCCTGGCCACTTGCCAGCAGAGAACTTGCTCATAGGGAGGATTCCAGAATGCCGGCTGCACCCGTAGGTAAAGATGGCAAACTGAACGCACACATTTATCCTCTTTCCTTCCAGAAGCCCACTAACACATTGGTAAAGGGATTTTTTTTTTTTTACATTTATTTATTTTTGAGACAGAGAGGGACACAGCATGAACAGGGGAGGGTCAGAGAGAGAGGGAGACACAGAATCTGAAACAGGCTCCAGGCTCTGAGCTGTCAGCACAGAGCCCGATGCGGGGCTTGAACTCATGGACCGTGAGATCATGACCTGAGCCGAAGTCGGTTGCCCAACCGACTGAGCCACCCAGGCGCCCCAGTAAAGGGATTTTTAAAAGGCCAGAAGGACAATGAGAGAAGGAGAGAAGACAATAGCAACACAACTGGGAGCTAGGGGTCAATGATGAATGCCAGCTGATTCCACCGGCTGGACAAGCAGAGGAATGGCCTGAGTCACATGCAGGAACCCCAGAGTATGGAGATGGGGACACCGGTCATCACGGCAGCGAGGGAAGATGGAGCTGAAACGGGAGAGCTGGTCGAACATTTTAGAAATGATTTAGCTCCCCAGAGCCTCTTTGCCAGTTGTCCAGCATCTTCCCAGCGCTGGCAGGAGTCCGAGGCTGTCTTAGGGAGGGTCTTGAGACAGCAGTACATTTGGGAGCAAGCAGGTAAGTGGACATTTACATACTGAATACTTAGCATGGTCTCCCAGCCTCTCTGCCTGGGAGGGAAACAGAAGAGACTTCTCCGGGAATTCTGGCCCACCCAAGAGGAAAAACCTGGGGCATTCAGAGAGCCCCACCTGGTCACTCCGCTGGGACCCCACAGTTAATAAGCCTTTTCCCAGCTTCAGAGGCCCCAGTGGACTCTTTCCTCCTGCATTAATCAGGAACAAATAACCAAGGAATTCCAGACATCCGAGGAAACTCTCTGACTTGGAAACTAGAGACCAAAACAAATGAACAGGAAAAAAAAGCAATTTGGAAGAAACCCAGACAATCCAAGGAGAACTAAGCTTTCTGTCCACCTCTCCTTTTTCTCCCCCTCCAAAAAACTATTGGCAATATCCTCAAAGAGATCAGAGCAAATATGGCACCATTAAAAACAGGATGCTTTGAGAATGGGTCTTCAGAGAACAGGAGCAGACCATAGCAAAACAAAAACACCACCCTGAAAATTAAAAGTACTTGCAGAAATGGAAAAGTCAGGAGAGCAGGAAGATAAAGTTGAGAAAAATCTCCTAGGAAATAGAGCAAAAAAGGCAAAAAGATAGTTGATAAGGGGGGAAAAAAGAAAAAGAAACTCAGAGGACCAGTTCAGGTGGTCCAACATCTGCAGAATATGACTTCCAGAAAGAGGACAGAGAAAATGGACAAGAGGAAACCATTGATGATATAATTAAAGAAAATTTCCTGAAACCAAAGGACATGAGCTTCCAGATGGAGAGGGCCCATTGATTGCCTACTTTAGTGGACGCAAATGGACCCAAACTAGGGCATGGCATGCATGATGAAATTTTAGAAGACCGAGGGATAAAGAAAAGATCCTAAAAGCTTCCGGCAGGGGGCGGATAGCAATTGATATTATTCTTTTTTTAAGTTTATTTATTTATTGAAGCGATCTCGACACCCAATGTAGGGCTCCAGCTCACGAGCCCAAGATCAAGAGGGGCATGCTCTTCCAACTGAGCCAGCCAGCACCCTTGGAAAGAAATTGATATGAAAAGGATCATGGGTGAGAATGGCTCTAGACTCTTCGAGAGCAACACTGGAGCTAGAAGACCGTTAATTAATGCCTTCAACATTCTGCAGGAGAATTCTGTCCAACCTGCAGTACTCAGGCCTCTGACTTCACAGCTCCAGGGGGGAGCATTCACCATAGGACACGGTGCGATGGTTTACCGCTGGTGGTTGTGTGGTGTGGTGGTCCTGCTCTGTCCTTTCTCTATTGGAAGATGTGCTCCACCCAAACAAGGGAGTAAACCAAGAAAAAAGAAGGCGTGGGACAGAAAGTGCAGGAGAGCCAGTACCTGAGGGAGGCAGAGAGATCCTCAGGCTGCTGGTAAAGGGAGATTCCAGGGTGGCAGGGGGGCTTAGAAGGCAAAATTAGATTAGAGAAGCTCAGAAGGGTTTGGGGGGATGCTTCTTCAAGAACATTGTTATGGGGCGCCTGGGTGGCGCAGTCGGTTAAGCGTCCGACTTCAGCCAGGTCACGATCTCGCGGTCCGTGAGTTCAAGCCCCGTGTCAGGCTCTGGGCTGATGGCTCAGAGCCTGGAGCCTGTTTCTGATTCTGTGTCTTCCTCTCTCTCTGCCCCTCCCCCGTTCATGCTCTGTCTCTCTCTGTCCCAAAAATAAACTTTGAAAAAAAAAAAAAAAAAAAAAAAAAAAAAAGAACATTGTTATGGGTTGGATGTTCATGTCCCCCCCCCCCACCAAGTGTCGATCAACAGATGAATGGGTAAATAACAACAACCATATATACACATATAACATATATATGTATTTGCACAACGGGATATTACGCAGCCATAAAAAGGAATGACGTTCTGGCACATGCTGCAATGTGGATGGACCTTGAAGTGAAATAAGTCAGACACAAAAAGACAAATATGGTATGATTCCACTTATATGAAATATCTAGACTAGGCAAATTTGTGGAGACAGAAAGTAGATTTCGAGATTATCAGGGGCTGGCAGGGGGAGGTGGGAGCAGGGAATGAATGCTTAATCAGAATGGAGTTTCTGTTTGGGTGACGAGAAAGTTTATTTGTAAAACTAAAAAGACAGTGGGGATAGTTGCCCCACATCATGGATGTAATTAACGCCATTCATTGTACACTTAGTGGTTAAAATGGCAACTTTTATGTGATGTCTATGTTCTGACAGTAAGAAGAACTTTAATAGGCTGTCCGAAGTCTCAAAGGGTTCTTCCCTTAAAGATAAAATAAAAATTTTCAGTGATAGAAAAAACAAAAGGGGAGAAGGCAGAGGTATTGTGAAGAGGATAGCAGGTATAGACATGGGCAGGATTTCCAGAGGTAGCAGTGGAGGAGGAGAGCTCTGAGGGCAGAGACCCAGCCCCAGGGCTGTGAGGACGGGTTGGGTTGTTTCAAGGAGTCCATGTGGCCAAAACCGGGGACCAGGCAGAGAAGCAGCAGGAGGTGAGGACTGGAAAGCCTAACAACCACAGAAGACGGTCAAGTGCAGAGCCTTGGAAGGAGGGCTTTTAAGCCGGGAGAGGGCAGTGTCACAGATTCAGAACTGTGTTCCAGAACACAGGCTCTCAGACTTCATCATGCATCTGAATCACGCGGAGGGCTTGCTAAAACAGATTGATGGGGCGCCTGGGTGGCTCAGTCAGTCAAGCCTCAGCCTCTTGATTTCAGCTCAGGTCATGATCTCATTGGTTCATGAGTTCGAACCCTGCATTGGGCTCCATGCTGAGCCTGCTTTGGATTCTCTCTCTCCCTCTGCCCCTCCCTCTCTCATGCTCTCTCTCTCTCTCTCAAAAACAAAAACAAAAACAAAAAAACACAAAAAACACAGATTGCCGGGCTCAGGCTAGATGTTCTCACTATGAGGACTTGGGGCTGGCGATGGGGATTGGCGGTGGGGTGGGTGGCCGGGTATTGAACCGCTTTCTTTTCTTCTCAGACACCACCACACGTCTCCTGCTGGGGGCCATCGCAGTCCTTCTGTTCGCTATCCTGGTGGTGATGAGCATCTTGGGTGAGCATGCATGTCAGAGCATTTATGCAAGTGTATACAGAGACGCCTATATCCATATACACCCCTTGTCAAATTAGGTAAAGTCTAATTAGGTAAAGAAAGGTTCCAGACATACTACGTATTCTGTGGGGAACAAAGCACAGAAAACAGAGTGCTGTTTCCAGATGCGAGTGTAGCCAAAAATAATATAGTCACACATTGACTCCACATGTCCCCTTTACTAAGCCATGTGGGGAAGGAGCGATGTTACTTAGGGACTGTTCTGTACGTGCTTCAAGAACACAAACCAGCTTGAGGGGAGTTAGGCAGACCCTGCTTCTTGAGGAGATGGCTGGGGGATGAGGGCCTTTAAAGATCACGTTCATTCATTTAGTGAACATTTACTGAGCCCTGCTGTGTGTCAGTCCCCGTAAATGCCGAGGACAAAAAGAAAGAAGGAAGGGAGGAAGGAAGAAAGGAATAAAAAGGAGGAAATTGCAACTAAGAACAGGTGAGGCTATATGACCAGGAGATCTGGCTGCTTTGAATGGATTCAAGTCTAAGTATGTCGTGGGTTCTGAAGAGTCTGCAAAGTGATTTCAGTGCCTCTGGCTTTAATCTTTGAGAAGCACCCTAAGACCAGAGGCGGGCACCTTAAAATGGGAGAAAAGTCCAATGACAACATCGGCTCCTGCTAAATCCTCACCTTCGGGCATGCGTGATAATCAGGGGATTTGTGAGTGTTTAGAAAAGAATATGGTGACCACTGGTGCCAGCTCAACCTAGAATAATCACTACAAATTAAATTGGTTTCCTGGTACTGGGTGTCCCAGTGCTGGGTTGGGGAGGTCAGAGCCATGCAAAGACATAGCACGTTGTGATTTTACTAAAGCACAACAGAGTCTCTTTGGAGATCCTTGCGGAAAGGCAGTTGAAAGTGGCCTCACCATGGTCAATACTCCCAAGTGATCACAGTGCACCGAGCAGATAAGCCAGAGTGTCGATTATTTAATTGGTGTCGGTGCGGCTATAGATCCTTAGGGGCTGGAGAACCACAGGCCTGTTCTTGGCTTTGTCCTGGTCTACATTTTAATCAATTGCTCGTACGAACACAAACAAAAATATGCTTATGGAATTTGTAGGTGTTACAAGGATGCTTGGGATGACAGAGGAAGGATGCTTAGAAGACAGATGGAAAAAAAAAATTAAAGATTAAAATGTGTCTTTCAAAACTCAGATGAGCCCACGTGAATGAGATAAAGGTGGAAGAAATAAAAATAAGATATCCATATGGACTTACAAAGTGATTTATACGAGTTCAGGACACAGGGGAGACCTGGCTTGGAAACAGATCATACGAAAACGATCCAAGCGTATGTTCTGCTGGCCTAGGAAAGCGCACGTATGCACGTACCCACTGATTCTTTTCACTGAAGCTGTCTGCAGGCAGGAAAGCCCATAGCAACTGGAAGGCAGTATGGCACTGTTGCTGGGGGTGGGGCCGCCTCTGTCTGTCCTGGTGGCAGCCTTTTGGTGACCGTGCGGATGTACCACAGTGAGCCAGACGGGACGGAGAAGGGTGTGGAGAGCATCTTTCGCAAGGAATTATGGAAACCTGGATGAGCGGAATCTGGCATCCTTCTTCAAGTAGGCGGCAGAAGACAGGCTGGGCTTGCTCTGGGTCACTCCAGGGGCAGAACCTAGACCTGGAGGTCTAGGTCTTGGGAAGGCAGGTTGGGGCTCAACACTGAAAAAGAACCTGGCAGCAGTTCAGCAGTGAAACAGGTTGAATTGTTAGCTACCGAGGGCACAGCCAATGAGAGGGGGTTGGTGGTTCCCACCCTGGCCGGGGAGAGAGCGCGTGTGGCCTCTAGGTCTTTCCTAATTCTGTTTCTGGGGTTCCGAGCCTCCAGGAGTTGAGAGAGAGAGATGAGATCTTAACCCAGGGGCTAATCTGCTGTCACCTCCCCTGGCGGTTGTGGCCTTGCCAGCCTCCCAGATCTCCCTTACCGTTCATTTAGTCACCAACCTATTACCTGCCAGGCACTGCGAGAGCCGCTCACGTGGGAAGACAGCCACCTGAGTCATCACTGGAGGGCACCCAAGTCAGGCGGGGGGCGGGGGGGGGGGGGGGGGGGGACCTTCGGGGAGGACCACACTCCTGGGATGTGGTGTCCCCCATGGCGTGCTTCCAGAAGGCACCCAGCCTGGGGTGTGCTGGTGGGCCCCACGGGGCGGGAGCCCGAGTGGCTCCCGTTTCTGGGGCTGTCGCGAAGGCCGATGGTTTCAATCCAAGGCCGGTTTGCAGAGCTCAACTCAGTTTTGCCAAGTGTGAGAATTACAAGTTACCAGGGCACTTGTGGATGAAGAACACGCTGGCATCTTCTACGAGTCCACATCAGGGCATGAGCTCTCACTTAATGCCCATAACAGTTTTATCAGTATAAATGTGACAGAAATGCAATTAGTGAGTCTGTGGTCCGTTTTGCATTTTGAGGGTAACAGTGGCGTGGCAATCCAAAATAGCGGATAATCTAAAAATCACTTCTTTTTTATAAATATATATTTTTTAATGTTTATTTTTGAGAGACAGAGAAAGGGAGAGAGGGAGCACAGGCAGGGGAGGGGCAGAGACAGAGAGAGAGAGACAGACAGAATCTGAAGCAGCCTCCAGGCTTTGAGCTGTCAGCACAGAGCCTGAAGCAGGGCTCGAACTCACAAACCACAAAATTATGACCTGAGCTAAAGGTGACACTTAACCAACCGAGCCACCCAGGTGTCCCGAAGAATCTGAGCTCAGAAGATGAACTTTGTTCCAGGCTTCCCGGTTCAGCAGGCACGCTCCAGGCCCCAAGGCTAGTGCGGGCCAGTGCTGCGACAGAGGTCAGTGGGAGCGCAGGGCACTCTGTGACCCCAGCTCCTTACTTTCGGGATGCAGTGACGGACCCCCTTTCAGTGTCTGTACGTCCTGGGAGCCGGCCTTCTCAGCTGAGATTAGTCTTGGCATGTCTGAACAGCCAGGAGACCTCATATGACTCAGGTTTCCCTCTTTCCTTGGTACAGGAGTTTATGTTCAAGTTCACGCGGAGGGAGCCCTGGATTGGCCTGCGCAGAGTGGGGGACGAATTCCACTGGGTCAACGGGGACCCGTTTGACCCGGACACGTGAGCTGAGGCTTCATCTTCTGGCCCCTGAGCTTAGACTGGGGGAGGCCTAGCTCCCTGGACACAACCCCCCAGAGAGAGCCCCCCGGGTCTGGGCCAGCTAGAGCTACTAACCTCCAGGTTCAGCGGCGTGTGACAGAGAAAACGATAACGGCTTTACTTCCCTGTCCTCTCCCGTGCAGCCTGCTTTGGCGGCTCTGCTGTAATGTAGCCAGCGGAGCTTTCCGCCGCCAGGCTTTTTCCATCTTGGGGCTCCCGGTTCGTGTAGCGGCCGGTCTGGGTGGCTCAGGGTGGCTCCGAGGAAGGGCAAGACAGGCCCCGGATGTTCTTCTGCATTGGCCAGAACTTAGCCACGTGACCACAGCTGCCGGAGATGGGGCCTCCATTCCCGGCAGCTGTGTGCTGCTTAAACATTGTTATCATGGAAGAGGGGGGCTCCGAGCCCTGGGCGCTGTGCGCATGGTCTTAGAGAAAACACCTCCTGAGGGTGCTGGGGGCGTGTGCAGTGGTGGTGTCCCTTGTGCGACCCAAGTGGTGTGGATGGGAGTGTGTGATGGGGTGGCAGGAGTGCCATCTCAGGGACTGGTTTGTGGGGTGCCGGTGGCCGTGGGCAGTGGGGGGTGTATGTCTGTGGCAGTGGGGGGGTGATGATAGTGGAGGGGGGCAGTCCAGGCTTGGGGAAACACAGGGGAGTGCGTACAGGGGAATAAGAACCTCAGCTTCTAGTCCAGACCCGAGAGACCAGGCTGCTCACCTGATGATGGTGATGATGATGCAGGAGGGACCCCAAGGCAGGGGAGGCGGGAGGACTGACCCCCAGCGCTCCACCGCGGCCTTCCCATTCGAAACTGGCTGGGGGCTGCATCAGTCGCTGGTAGCCTCTAGGGGGCGAGCAGCTCATCAGCTCCTTCCCTCCGTTCCCCGGGCTCCCTTGCCCTTCATTCTGCACCCCTCTTTGTCCTCATTGTCTCTTCCTTTTTCTCTCTGTTTCCTGCCTTCACCCCAGGCCTATCCTTAGAGCTGCTGAGAAGTCTTGCATTTTCTGCCCCTTTCTCCCCTCATCTGGAAGCTTCCTGTTCTCAGAAGCTGGGAGAGCCCCGGAGGCTGGGGTTCCCAGTGTGCCGACCACCTGTCAACCAAAGGGCCTCTAGGCCACGTTTCTCTGGCACCGAGGTGGTCCTGCCTGGCAGTCTCTCTCGAGGTCATTCTGGTGTCCTCTCTTGTGAGACCCTGGCTCCAGCCTTGGCAGGGAACTCAGATCAGGGTGACCAATGAGGTTAAGAAGCAATACTGAAATTCACAGGAATGATTTGAGGTAGAAAGGACCCCCAACCCCCACGTCCACCGATGATGTCAGTGAATTTGTGGGCAACACAGCCTGGGTATCAAACGCTGGGGTTAATCAGGTCCACCCCTGTGAGCTAGTTTAATTCAGCTCATCTCTGCTGAGCTCTTCCTGTGCTGGACACCGTGTGCTGCAGGGGAGCCGAGATGAGGGAGGCATGGAGCCCGCTGTTCAGGAGCTGACTGCCTGGGGGGCTGGCGGGGACAGACACAGGCCCCACGAGCTGTGACAGGCGGTGCCCGTGGTGTAGGCAGGTGCTTTGGGGAGCAGGGGGCAGAGGGTGGTCCTGAACCGGATACTGGCTCACGGGACGGATGAGTGAGCTAACTCTGGAAGGACAGGAAAGTGCAGTTGTGTTCAGGAGATGTCTGCGGACATCCCCAGCGTGCCTGGAGCCGTGGTGGACACAGTAGGGAAACAATGAGAGGCTGCACGAGAAAGTTCTCTTGGGGCCCAAAGCACTAGAAGGTGGCTCCGGAGGGAAGGGACAGGTCACAGGGCCTCCGGGGCCATGCTGTGCGTGCCAGGTTCTAACCGCCTGCTCTCTTGTCTTCTGGCCCCAGATTCCCGATCTCGGGCCTGGGAGAGTGCGTCTTCGTGGAGCCCACCAGGCTGGTGTCGACGGAGTGTCTTATGACCCGGCCCTGGGTGTGCAGCAAGATGGCCTACACATGAGGTGGGTCAGGCCAGAGGCAGCTCTCCAGCCAGGCGCCGAGACCTGCCCGCCCCAGGCTGCTCTCCAAGGCGAAGCAGTGAGGAGGGTGGCCTGCGCTCCGGCCCCCATTCGGGTCCCACAGCCCTGGTTCCTGGCTTCCTTGGCCCCAGGCAGGTCCTGTGGTTCAGCCGTCAAATCCCACATGCTCAGTAGTGTAGGCGTCCCCCAAACACACACACACACATGCACACGCACGCATGCACGCACACGTCTGCACACGGTCCCTTCTCAAGTTCAGAGTCCACCCTTAGCCACCCCAACAAATCCCTCCCTGGCCCAGGCCTGGAATACTTCCTCCGGCACCGTCACAGAGTGCATTACAGTCATTTCTCCGGGGTGCTGGGGAGGCAGCGAGGGAGGCCTTCCCCTTACAGGGCCCCCTCCATCCGCCCTGTTTGCCTCGCTGGGGCTCTCAGGCAGGCCCCTGCCGCATCTGTGGTGCTGTGGTGTTGGTCACTGATGGAATAAAGAGATGACTGGCGTCCAGAGAAATCTGCCGCTGTTTGTTCCAGGGTCACGGCTTGGGGGAGGAGCAGAGGGACACGTTTCTGGGTTCCTGTCTGCGGGAAGGCACCACCGAGATGCACTTGATCTGGTGTGGCAGGTGGCAGCGTGTGGGAACCGAGGACGAAAAGCACATTCTGTGGCCTCGGGGCACCCTTTAATTTTGCTAAGCTACCGAGTTATTCTTAGCTGTCGGAGGGGGGTGTCCATCTGGCTCCCTCATTACTATTCCACTCAGTATGACAAACTTCTATTCACATCACACCTACTGCGTGCCGGACACCACGCCGGGCATGGGGAGCAACAGCTTTATCCCCCAAGGAGCACGCAGAGAGCAGAGGCAACAGCTTGGGAAGCACCAGAACGTTCTGGAACACAGTTGAGGGATGGCTTATCCTGCCTTAGGGGAGGAGGGGGGTGATATGAGCGGGAGGATTAGCCGTGCAGAAAAGATGACGTTCATGTTGGGCGGGTAAGAGTTTGGGAAGGTCCCGAGGCCCCTTCCTGTCCCCCCTTGGTCTGCCTGGGGAGGAAGCAGGGGCCTGGCAGTTCCCCTGGGCCTGCAGAGGCTCCAAGGGCGCCCGGCCCCCAGCACACACAGTGGAGCCCGGCCTCCCCGGCCTCCTCTCAGGGCCCCGGGCTGGCTGAGAGGGCTGGCCTGCCCGGGAGTGGCCCATGTGAATGTGGGTCCTGGCCCATTTTCAGAAAATAGCTCAGAGCGAAACCAGGTCCTGCTGTGTTCTGCTCAGCCCTTCTACTGTCCATTTTCAGACAAAGCTGTCAACTTGGTGGTGTTGAACTTTCTGCGTGCTTTCCAGGTATCTAGTAAAATATGGGCCTTTTGAGAGTTCACATTTTGTTTTTAGTGGGAAGCCAGTGAGGAACCCAAGCGTACTATTAAGAGGTGATAGGGATTCAGGGCAGTGGTGGCGCCTGGGCGGGGTGGCAGGAAGCCCGGCACCTTCTCAGCCCCGGTGGGGAAACGTTGCGGGGCTGAGCACCGAGGCCACGGTCGGCTGCCGCGGGGACTACTTTGGGGGACGGAGGGGGGAGTCTCACTTCCCCCTATTCTCAGTCATGCACAATCTCTTCCCCGCAAAGACGTGAGGCTCAAAAGCCTTGCCAGTGGTACCTCATTTAATTCTTACAGAAATGCCCAAGGAGGAAAGGAGGAAAGGCTGACGCAGGTGGCCAGACTGAGTGTGGCAGGATCCCGGGGTCCCGAGGCGTGGTAGCGCCTGGCCGGGGCTTCCGGGCTGTGCTCTCACCTGCAGACAACCAGGCACTGAAGAGGGCTGGGAAGGGAGCACGGCCAAACTTCAGAAACGTAGGCAATCCTTCCAAAGCTTATACCCGGGCGAAGCACCTCGGTCTCCCATGTGGCTGAGCGGACCCGGTTGCCCGGCTGCAGGGCCGGGTGCTGTGCTCTTGGCGGCCACAGGGGGCAGCACCGAGGGCGGACACCCCGCCGGTGCTGGATTCCCCACCCCAACCCCCACCGTCGCTGGAGCAGGGACCACCTTACTTAGCCCCTTGCGAAGATTTTTTCCTTGCCAAGGCGACCCCCCCTGGAGTTGAGAGAGTGCTTAGCTTGGAGCCTGGGCTGTTGTGCCCTGAGCGGATTTGAGCCCAAACCCCAGTCCCATCCTCGGTGAGCCCCAGGAGCGGGCAGGGACCCCCGCAGAAGGCTGAGCCTGCGCACCGGACCCTCCTCAGATGACCTCTGCGACGCTGGAGGACGACAGGGAGGCCATTTTAAGCGTGTGGCGTTGTGCTGCCAGGTCATCTGGTGTCTGCTTGGTCGTCCCTGCAAGGCCTGCATTATCATCTGCCCATGCTTACAGATGAAGAACAGAGAGGTTAAGGGGCTGGCTCCACATCACACAGCTAGGAGGCGGTGCAGGCAGGATTCGAACCCAGCCCCACTCGACAGGGCCCTGGGGAGGCCACCTATGTGGCAGGCATGTCCCCTGGAGGCAGCAGACGGCTGTGGAAGGCTGAGGATTGCAGACTGGCTGTACGCTCGTACACACTGAGATTCCCGATTCTGCAAGTTGATGTCTTGGAATCAGTTTTGGAGAATTCTTCACCTTTACCTCTTTAAATATTTCTCTTGCCCCACCCTTCTTTTCTCCTTCCAGGACTCCAAGTAAGGCTGTTTGATGTTATCACGTGGGTCTCTAATGCTCTAGTTTGTTGTTGCTGTTGTTTTATTTTTGTTAATTGTTAACAAAACAATTGTTAATTGTTTTGTAATTAACAATTGTTAATTGCATTGAATCTGTAAATCAATTTGAAGGGCTGTGCCATTTTAATAATTTGACTATTCTAATCAGCAGTGTAGCTCTCTCAGTTTTTAAAAGTTTTTTGTCGAATCTCAGCAACCTCTTACAAATTTTAAGGGTAGAGTTTTTGCACAAATTTAAAAAAAACTTATCCTCAGGTACTTTTATTTTTCATGCCACTATAATTTTTTTTAAAAAATTGTCACATTCCAACGGTTTGTTGCTAGTATAAAGAAGCAGAATCGATTCTTGTACATTGACCTTTTATCCTATAATCTGGCCAGGTTGACCTGTTAGCTCCGGTCGATTTTTTGGTAGACTACTTAGAATTTCTGCATGATTATCCACTGTTATATGAAAGCATAGCATGGGCTGTCACTTTTCCAGATCCTTAAATCAATTTCCTTATTTCTCTGTCCAGCTGCTAAGCCAATGCCATGTATTCTTGTTAAAAAAAAAAATTTTTAATGTTTATTCAGTGGGAGCGGGGGAGGGTCTGAGAGAGAGGGAGACACAGAATCCGAAGCAGGCTCCAGGCTCCGAGCTGTCAGCACAGAGCCCGACACGGGGCTTGAACTCAAGACTGTGAGATCACGACCCGAGCCGAAGTTGGACGCTTAACCGACTGAGCCACCTGGGTGCCCCCATGTATTGTTCAGATGTTTTAGGAGTACCTCACTTCCAGGAACCAATGTCTGAATTAGATGGGATAGGTTAATTGCTATAATAAAAACAACCCTAATTTCAGAGTCTTAAATATAAGAGAAACACTTATTTCTTGCTCTTTCGTGATTTTGTCCGGTGTGGTTGTATTAGGAGGCCACCCAGTCATTCAGCACCCTGGGCTTCCTCCACCTGGTGGCCCCACCGTTCCCCAGGCCCTCAGAGTCCTTCACTGGATCTTCCATATCTAGCCAGAAATTGAGGGAAGAGAATGTGGATAAATGTGTGACAGTTTTTTAAGGGTCCAGCTCTGGTCATATATATCTGCAAAGTGTGCTAGGAGATACAATCTAGCTGTGTGCTCAGTAAGAAGAAGAAACGGCTTTGGGGAATATCGAGCCAGTCTTGTCACATGTAGTATTATCCCCATTTTGCAGATAAGAAAACTGAGGCTCGAGAGATTAAGCGATTTCCCAGCTTTCACAGTCATGAACAACAGTGGCTGGAGGTGGCTGTCCCCACATCCTTGCTCCGAATCACTATACTGTCAATACTTCCTTCTCTCCTACTGCCCTACTGCCTCCCTCCCTGGCCGCCGCTATCCTTTTTCTTTTTTTTTTGTTTTTAAATGTTCTTTATTTAAAAAAATTTTTTTTTCTCAAGTTTTTCTTTAAATTCCAGTTAGTTAAGGGGCGCCAGGGTAGCTCAGTCGGTTGGGCGTCCGACTTCGGCTCGGGTCATGATCTCACAGTCCGCGAGTTCGAGCCCCTCGTCGGGCTCTGTGCTGACAGCTCAGAGCCTGGAGCCGGCTTCGGATTCTGTGTCTCCCTCTCTCTCTCTGCCCCTCCCCTGCTCATGCTCTGTCTCTCTCTGTCTCAAAAATAAATAAAAACATTAAAAAAAGAAATAAATTCCAGTTAGTTAACATACCGTGTAGTGTGTCAGGCGTAGATTTTGGTGATTTGTCACTTTCACACAATGCCTGGTGCTCAAGGCCCGTGCTATCTTAAGACCTGTGATTTTTTTTTTTTTTTTCCCCCAGCAGGGGCTGCCTCTGAACATCCACTTTCTCTTTCCGGCTCTGGCCTTTTATCTATCAGTGGGTACTTGGTTCTCTCACAAGCAGCCTGGTCCACAGGCTTAGTCTGCAACTGCTAAGGCCCCTGAGAGCCACCTCAATAAACAGAAGGCATTTATACAGCACATGAAAAGACATAAAAGTACACGCCAAGTGGCTTCTCTGCAAGAGTACCTATACTCCAGCGTTGTTTCCGAAGCACTTCAAAGGGCAAGTGTCGCAGTAGAAAGGACTGTATGCCTCCTGCAGATCGGCATGGGTAAAACAACAGGAAAAACGAATTAGATGGGCCCCCCTACACACCGTCTAGCTCCTAGCCCTGTTTCTTCCCTGAGGAGTGAGGATTGGGGGTGTCGCTGAGCCGGGGGTTTCTTCCATCTTCAAGCAGTGCCAGACGGTGTAACGGAATTAGATCTTCTGAGGGAGATCT